ATATGACACCAAACGAGGAGGAGAGAGAGAGATGCTGGAAGGAAGAGCCACCATACAGACTCTGACAGGCTGGAAGAGTGCATCAAAAGAACTGCATGAGCTTTGACAAAGATAAAGTCTTGTACCTGGGATGGAATAACCCCAGCAGCAGTACAGTCTGGGGTCTGACTGGCTAGTAAGCTTTTCTTTTTTCAGCTCTGCTGAGAAGGACCTTGGGATTCTGGTAGAGAGCAAGCCAAACAAATCAGCAAAGCATCCTGGCAGTAGCAAAGGCAAATTTTTTCATGGGCTGCATCAGCAAGAACTGAGCCGGCAGAACAAGGGATGCGATTACGCCACTTTACTCAGCACTTTTTAAGCCACACCTGGAATACCATGTCCAGTTTTGGTCCTCCCAGTTCAAGAGAGGCACTGGAAAACTGGAGAGAGTCCAGAAGATGGCCAGCCAGCATGATGATTAGAGGGCTGGAGAACCTGACACAGCAAGAAAGGTTGAAGAACTTGGGTTCCTTCTGCCTAAGAAAAAAACTTTCATTGGTGGTATCTAATCATAGCCTTCCAATACCTAAAGCATAGTTACAGAAGAGATGAAGGTACTGTCTTCACAAGGATCTGTGATGACAGGACAAGAGACAGTAGGCACAAAGTGTGTTAGGGAAAATTCTAGCTGCATATAAGAAAAGAAATTAATCACCATGAGAACAGGCTGCCCAGAGAAGTGGTCGAATCTCCCTTGCTGGAAATACTGAAGTCTCAGCTCAACACAGCTAGGACAGAGATGAATTGCCTAACCTAAGGCCCTGCTTCCTACACAAGCTCGACCCAGGTGATCCCCAAAACTCCCTTCCAAGAGTCCAACCTCAACTCTTCTGTGATTCTAGGAAATCAAATCGCTGCTATTTACTTTCTAGTTCTGTCTGCAGTTAGTTTACTACGTATTTCCATTTGTTCCTAGCAAAAAAGCTAAACAACCTAAAAAGAGGTTTTTTGGCTTTTACATTTGTTTTAAAAATGAGCAGAATCAAAACAACAGCAGTTACGTTAGTACAGATTGAGAAAAGGAAATGTGAGCTAACATGTCTCTCAGACATTAAGTCTCCCGATACAGTTTACAAGATTAACAATCATCTGGTTGTCTTTGTGCCCTTACAAATGAAGTTAAACAGGCACAGTTAGCATTTACGTATTATAATAAGGTTTCCAATGGTTATAAAGCTTCTTTCAAAAGCCTTAAGGAATATTACTACTAATTAAGTCTTTCCCCTGTATAATAAAAATTAAAGACCTGATTAACACAACATTTGTTTCTCCTTTATGCCTTGTGAATGAGTGAACAGAGACTTCTGTTTACTGTTTTGTTAAGAAAAATAGGGTACAAACATTGATTTTTGATTTTAATGAGAAATTTAGGATGTTTAAGTTAACTATATATTTACTAGTAATGTGTATGATTAACATGTAGGATTACTTTCAAAGGAAGACTGTGATCAAGTCCTGCAAAAGCTAGCGTCAAGGTAATTAGCTGTTCTTTAGTTTAACTTCATGTGTGGCCGTAACAGTCCTATCTCGGTACAGTCCTTGGAATACACAGTATATTTTAAATTATTTAAATATGAAGTTATGTAAAAAACCCCAAGTACTGGTACTGTAAGATTAATCCCCATCATAACCTTTTCTGCTTAAGAAAGTAATCATATATTCAGAAGTGCTCCTAGCTTATACTGGTTATTTCAACCCAGGTGCAGGACTTTACACTTGTCTTTGTTAAACTTCATACTGTTCTTGCTAGCCCACTCTTCCAGCCTGTCCAGGTCTCTCTGTAAGATGGCTCTCCATTCTGATGTGTTCATCTCACCACTCAGTTTGGTGTCACCAGCACACTTGGTGAGGGTGCTTTCAATCCCATTGTCTAGATCATTTGTGAAGATGAACAGTGTGGGGCCCCATATCAATCCCTAGAGGATCCTACTTCTGACAGGCTGCCAGCCTGAGTAAAAACTATTGATCACCAGCTTCTGAGTGTGGCCTGTAAGCTACTTTTCTACTCATCTCGCAGACCACCAATGCAGTCTGTATCTTGCCAGCTTGTCCAGAAGGCTGTGGGAAACAGCGTTGAATGTTTTGCTTAAGTCCAGGTTAAACAACATCCACTGCTCTCCCCACACAAACTGAAAGTGTTACTTTGATATAGAAGGTGATCAGGCTAGTCAGGTATGATTTGTCTTTGGTGTAGGTTTTTCCCAATCACCTGCTTCATTTGGCTTGTAGTATTTTCTTTAGAGGATTCTTCCACTACTTTCCCAGGGACTGAAGTAAGACTAATGGGCCAGTAGTTCCCTGGGTCCTCTTCTGGGCCCTTCTTCTAGATGGGTATGACATTTGCCCTCTTCTAGTCATCAGGGATATCCTGATCTTCATCACTTTTCAAATACTATAGATAGTGGCCTTGCAAAAATGTCAGCCACTTCTCTTAACATCCTGGAGTGGATTCTGTCCTGGCCCATAGACTGATGTGGGTTGAGCCCTTGCAAGAGGCCACAGCCCAGCCCTTCCTCCATCACTGGTGGGTTGACACATGCCTTGTCATAGCTACTTGATCCTGTGATCTGAGGTCCAGCTATGCCGGTAAAGATAGAGGCAAAGAAGCTAGTGAGAACCTCTGCCTTATTGGCATTAGTAGTAACTTGCTTCCCTGCCCTGTGTAGCAATGGGCCTATGTATGTCTTCCCTGTGCTTCTGCTTACTGCTCATGTATCTGAAGAACTCTTGTTGTTCTTGACATCTTTGGCCAATTTCAGTTCTAGCTGATCCTCAGCCTTCCTGACTGCATCTCTGCATGTCCTAGCAAGGTTCTTGTAGTCCTCCACGGCTATCTGGCTGCCCTTCCACAGCCGGTATGCTTTTTTGCTTTTAATCACACCCAAAAGCTCATTGTTAAGCCACTGTTAAGCCAGACTTCATCCTGAGCTAACAAGTTCAGCCCTCAAGACTTTTAGAATGGGATCAGCACCATGGTACTACGAATGATTTACTAACTTAGGCTCAGTGCTATGCTAGCACTGACAACTGTTTTTTTGATCAAAGTTGCTCCTTACCTCAGCATTTTCAGATGTGTTTAGAGTCTATCAGAGGACCCCATAGTTACACTAAGTAATATTACCTGGTTATATGCAGCACAGAAGCCAAATAAAACCCCCCGACTCTTAAGAACATTGATTTATGACCTGGAATTTCAAGATACCCACAACTGTGTTACACCCTTGCAGAGGTTCTTATTCCTTCAGCAGAGACAATTAATGCAGCAGGTGTTCAGCTGATAGGTAGTTTTAAGAGATTAAAATTGTAAGAAACTGGCATCGAATTTAGTTTTCCTTAAAAAAGGCCCTCCCCACTTCTGAGTCAATCTCAAGCTACTCTGGTGAAAAAAAAAACCCAAAACAAATATATGAAAAAATCTTACCCTAAATTTGTATTTTGTACTACGCCTCAAGTTCTTCACTGTGTAGGTAAGATCGTCACCATCATATTTTGGCTTGAAACCATATCCCTGCAGAATTAAACATGATTACTTGAAACATTGTATTTGCCACGTAACATACTTCATACAACTAAATTACTGTTTCAGACTGTAACTGTTATGCTCCCCTGACAAAGTAATAAGTGCACCTTCATTGTGTAAACATAAATTTTTTTTTTGGAGAGGGGGAAATTAATTCACTATTTTCCAATCAGAAGAGGAGAAAAGAACAGTAAAGAAAATCATATACAGTATCAACAGAAATTATACCCAACACTTTCAAAGGGTAGAATAGGACTCATTTTAAAACAAAGGTGGTTAGGCCAAAATGACATCTAGAGGGACCACACTTCATGATGCAATTACTTTGATCCTGCTCTTGTAAGGCTTAACGTTCACATGCAAATTCACAAATTAAAAGCAATTTAAAAGTCTTTCCAGGATTGGGTCTTAATAACACTAATAATGATTACTGTCACAATGAAAAGGAGAAAGCAATGTGGCTGTATGGAAAATACAGTTCCTTGTAGAATATTCTAGCAAAAGTAATCACTGTTACACTTAATACAATAAGGTATCAAACACACATTATAGTCTCTTTTCTTATTAAGTATTCTAAACTTACTGAGTTCTCATCCTCCATCTCTAATATATACGAGATTCCTTCATCTGATGGTGTTCCTGAGGGTTTTGTCCACTGTAGGGATAACCAAGTAACTCCAGCATTAATCAGCAAAGGACTTGCTGGTGTGGTCGGGGCAGTGCCTGAGGTATGATACAGGACTTCTTCACTAAAACCACTGTTTAAAACAGACAGTATGTAAACTAACTAGACACAATAATTAATATCTAGAAAAACATAATTCTTACTAAACACAGCTATGACAGTTTCTTAGACATGTGCACAACTGGAAATCACAAGCTGGTACATGCAGACGACTTAACTTGCCCATGAGCCTTGTCAGTAACAAAACATCTGAAAAAGTCAACATGTTCATAATTGAAAGATTCCTTTGTGTGATATAATTACAATGTTTTGCTAACCAAAACGTTTTGCTTTTCCATATTAAGTTATTATTCTAAAACAGTAGAGCTCTATATGCAATAGTATACTAATACCACAGTGTCCTTCCTATTCAAAATGAAAACATGAAGACATAAAAGCATATATGGGAAGACCTCAAAAAAAATGTCGCTTCCCAGGCAGCAATTATGTGCTTCAAGTATACTGTTTCTCTAGTGATTCAGAAAATAATAGAATAATAGCCTCATTCAATGTTAAGTTACTTTAAGAGTTCCAATATGAAAGTCTAATTGCAGAATAAATGAAGTAGAGTGTACACCAGTGAATCTCCTAGCACAACTGTTAACCTTATCTGATGATGCTTAGAAACTCCTTGAAGTGAAAATACAAATAAGTTACATAAAAAGACCTATTGTGAAACAGAGGGATGCAAAAGTCAGTAAACGAGTACTATGCTTGCAAAGGTGGTCTGACGTGTATCCAGCTAGACTAAAAAAACCCCACCTGTTCTCAGCTGGCATTTGCTGCTTCTACACCAGATCTGAAGAAACACTTAGAGGCTTAAGAGCTAATCTATTTTTTTTAACCACGTGAAACTAACGTCAAAGATGTAATTTTAATCTATAAGCTGGGCATTACCTCAGTGACCATCAGGAAGCCCTGAAAACAAAATTCTCCGTATGGCTTGAACAACAGTACCAGTTAAACATCTCATGTGTTGGAGCCTGACTGTCCTGAAAAATCCCAATATAAAGATACCTCAACTTCACTTTCTCTCTTATGCAATCTACATTATAATAATGCACAAGTAGTAAATTTTGGTCTGCTCTAGAGTCTTTTTGCCATTAAAAATCATAACAATAACAATAAATCTTACAGACAACGCATTATCAAGAGGGTTGATAGCACCCAAAGCAGACATACAGTCTGTGCGGATGTGCAGACTGTGAAATAGATTGTGAAGCAACAAGTGAAAAAGTGCAAAAAAAGAGAAAACTTCTTAAATTTTGGGGGAATAATAACTTTTTTCTTGCAAAAAGTCACAGGAAAATCTCTGAAATTAAGACGATGTGACACATACATTATATCTATTAAAAAAAAATTTCAGCATTATATAGGGAGGCTAGAGAAAGCATGATGAGAGGCTAGACAAATACTAAGCCTATCTCTATTCACGACAAACTATTGAAGAAATCACCTTACAAGCAGATATAAGATAAAAACCCCACACCTTAAAAAATTTATTCTCTTTACTTGATTGAACCACTCCAAAATACACTGAAATTAAAAGGGTTCCAGTGATACCCACATTTGAATGACTCTTAAACAATTCTCTTAGAAGTACAATAATGCTATCTATCTTTTAAATAGATTTTATTTTTCCAGTTTTCTTTAGCTACTGTTTCATGTGTGGTTGGAATTAAATTTAAAAATAGATGAGGAACTCAAAGATAAAATGTCTGTTCTTGTTGGTAAAATCATTTGGACAGAATTCTGTCTCCAGATGCCTACGGTTCTCAACATTCTTCATAAGGAATTATCAGGCACTCTACCCTAATATCAATTATTTCAAGAGACTTCTTAATTACATAATACCATAAAGACAATAAAGTGCATCTTTACCAGGCTATGAAATATTGATTTAAAAACCTATTCGGCGTGATTAGTTTAAGAAGGGTACTTAACTGATCAGTGTCTTCTACCAGCTTATGCTGCAGGAATCTGTAACGTGCAGGTATTCCTAGAGGGTACATTTACACTCAGACATAAAAGGGCAACAGGAAGACAGCCTGAGCACTGGACACTGCTGAACTGCCAGCTCACTCCCTGTCTTTATTTTTTTGAACAGTTCCAACTAAATCTCATCAAGACAAAGTCCAGGAGCAACTCAGAGAATAATTCATTCCAGAAACATTATCCAGAAGGCAGTAATGTAATAAAGACTGTGTTGGAGCACACCGAAAGTCATTCTAGCAAACTATGGTGTCCTCTGACAGTGGTCCAAAGTAGGTGCCTAAGGAAAGACAAGAACGAGCACTATACGCTGCAACACATTCCCTGAGTACTCTCCAAAACCTTGCAACACACGCCCCAGATCTCTTGAGCCAGCTCTGGTTTTCACATACTTAATAGTATGAAGAAGATTTCTTCTGCCCAGCATGAATTACTATCCCACGTCTGGCTCCCTGTTCTTTACGCTGTCCAAGGAGGCATCATTCCCTCAAGCACCTGCTTGTGCCAACTGAAGGATGCACAACACACATACTCTATTTCATGCTATTAAAATACCACTCTGGTGAGCTGCAGCACACTGCTCATAATATTTCAAACACTGAATTAAAAGAAAACAAAAACGAATGCAAAATAGCAATTTTAGGCTGATGGCTAGAGAAGCCTTGTTTTTATGCCACATAGGACCTTAAAGTCCAAGTGCTACTAGATAGTGGGGACAGTGGCAGTCTGCTCTAGAGATGATGAGCCCTGGTAGTGTGACTATCAGCTAGGTTTATTCGCTTTGCCTGAAGACCAAGAAGCATTCCCAAGAACTAACGTACCCAGTAATGCAAGCATAACTTGAGAAACCAGTAATTTTGTGGGGTTCCCCCCCCCTAGTTCTTATATCCTCTACTGAAGTCAGATGTCATTCATTCAAAAATTAAAAAAAAAATAAAAAATTGGTGCTCTATAACTTCTGAAAAGTAGCAATTAAAAGTAAGAATGACATCCTAAGCATTCATAGTAAGTTCTAGAACTTCAAAAGAAGTCAGTGATAAAGTAATGTCATATTCTGTCCATTTCCCAGGGTAACAGGAGACTAACAGACACCTTAGATAAAGGGACATACCCAAGTAACAGGACATGGCAAAGAGCCCAATACATAGACACCTACAGGTGGCAGCGGGGGTTCTGCCAGACTTCCTGCTCCAGCAGAGTTACTGACACGTCTTTATATTGTCATCACTAAAGCTCTAAATTTAAGGAGGCCTGATAAATCATGGAAAATTGATGCACCAGCTTCAGGAACTACCTTAGATCAAGCACCACGTCAAACCTCCCTGGAACCAAAAGCAACACAAAGCATGGTAGGAGGTACCCTCTGGTCAGCACAGCAGCAGCACAAGCACTGCAGCATTTAAACTACTTAATTATAACCCTTTGGTTGAGTCATTTATCTTTTAGTGTGATCCTCAGAATTTTAGTAAAGTCTTTATTACGTCAGACACAAAAGCCACAAATTGTACTGAATGTGTGAGTCTCTACAATGTAGTGCTTAGCCAAAAATTCCATTACAAGTACATGCAGTAGGAAACACTGCTAAGGTAGCCACTTCAGTGGTCAGCAAGTCTACAAAGACTGAAGCTAAAAACCAGCACAGCCTGAGCTGATTTCACGGGAGAGCAGTCAGGTTGTTTGTGCTATGCTCATGGTCCCCATTCTAGGGGCACTGTGTACAAATATCTGAGCAGGCTGTTCAGGAAATGAGGCTAAGTCTGGCAGAAGTAGCTGTGCTATCCACTTCTAAGAGGGGCTGATATTTGTAGCATATATGGCAAGTATGCACATAACGTAGTGGTTGTAGTATGTAGCCATACCATGCCTGGACAAAACGCATTATGCTGGGAATTGCAGGTTAGCAGAGGTTGGAAGGTATCTCTGGAGACCATCGTGTCCAACCTCCCCTGCTGAAGCAGGGTCAAGTGGTTCCTAGTATACAGGTAATCCACACACCAAATAATCCAATCACATACTGTGAATTAACTATGAGTTGGACTAGATGATCACTGTAGGTCAATTCCAGCTGGAATTTCATCCCCGTTGGACAAAAGACCTGTTTCTTTAAATGTCATCATATGTTTTTTCCTAACTAAGCACACATATGCATTCCATATTTATGTATATTACAGTAATATTTACCTCATTCCCACGTCATTTTTGGCTGCTAGTCTAAAGGTGTATCCCATTGCTGGTGATAGTTTAGTAATCCTATACTGCTTTTGTTGGCCATAATAACACTGGCAAAACTCTCCATTTCCTTTTCCCTAAAAAAGGAATAAGTTAATCACATTATTCACTCTATTATATATGCATCCATCAATTAAAATAACACACAAATGTGAAGTAAACTATTTCTTTAAAATGAAACATAACTCAAGAATCTCCCATATAGTAAGGCAGTAGTATGTTAAACTTTGTGTATATAATGAATTAGAGGCTTTTTTCCTTCCTTTCCATTTCCCAGCTCTACAAGGTTGGAAGGAAAAAGCTATGAAGCTTCTGCAGCTCTGCCATCTCAGGACTGCTGTCCAGGTAGGGACTGAAAGATGCTTGCGGGGAATAATAGATCCACTCCCTTTGTACAAAAGAAAGACTTACAGGAAAATGACCCTTCAGTGTCAGCTCTTGAAAGAAGTATTAGACTACAAGTGAAAAAGCCATTTATAAAAGTGGCAGAATCATTTAATAAGATCTTATTATTTTATATTCCCCCCCTCCAAATTGGCAATAACCATATATTCATAACTGCTTCAGGAATTACATGTTTGTAACATGCCTCTAGACGGAAGTCATAATTTTCACACAACTTGATGTGCATAGTCACATACAATTACTTTTTAAAAAACTACAAAATTAAAAATAAAATAGAATAACTTGCTTACTTCATCCCATTCTAGAAGGTAACTGTGGATTTTAGAACCGTTATCATAAGATGCCTGCAACAGGAAAAGAAGAAAATTAGAGCTCTAACTGGATACAAGACCGCTTACGGGTAAATGATGCTCCCCTTATATGACTGTTTCACTTGCCAAGACAGTCCCAGTTCAGTCTCCATCCAATGAATGCTTATATCATGTTTATGGTGTGGGTTTTTTTCATTTAGACCTTGAAAAAAGTATTCTGGCAGCAGTGTAAAATGCTACTGTATTTTTCTGAGCAGCTAGATTGCAGGTCTGTTCCAATCTTTCCAGACCACTTCATTTGCTTTGCACAGACAAGCCTATGTTCAATAACAGAGGAAGGAATTGGTTCCAGAGTACAGTAGGGCACTGGAACTCAAACCACTATCTCTCATTTGAACTCAGTAACTTTATCTATGAAGGTTCCTTGCTTTTCTGGGAATCCTTCTCTTTTTCCTAAAGTCCACGTTTAACCCAGTACATGTATTTCCAGTCACAGAACTGTGCCTGAAGTTAGTATGTTTGACAAAAACTTTCTGTCTCAATGAACTGGCATTTTACTGACAAATCCAAAACAATTCTGAAGAACTTAAAATATTTATTTTAAACGTTTTTAAACAGTTCTTACCTTCCACTGCAGAGTAAGAGAATTTTTGGTCCGATTAGTTATCCTGGGCAGATTTGGAGTATCAGGTTCACAACTTACTGTGGTAAAACTCTCTGCTTCTGAAGGGCTCCCCTTTACACAGTTACATTCTACTTGGACTCTAAAGTGGAAAAGAGCCAATAGCATTTTGCTTCAAAATCTGTATATACAGTTTGCAAAGAAAACTGAGTATTCAGAATTAATTTACTGCCCTGCTACCTCATTATTAAAGTATCTCTTTTATAAATAACGGGTAGAAGCACCTTGGTCAAAAGAAGTAATGCAAAAGAAAAAGAGTCCTTTACTTTGGATGTACATCATTATGATCAGTCAGCTTTAGTCTCACAATTACATTTGAAATCTGTCTGTTACTTGCTGTACTTTGGTTGGGAAATAATGGTAACATCTTGCAGGCTCATTATCTGTTGTAGACATACTAATTGGTATTATGAATAATTCTTCTTCTGCAAATGCTTTCATCAGATGAGCACCTTCTGCACTCCTTCAAGACCTTGCTGAGTCTGTTCACCCTGTCCTTTCCTTTAGGAATTAAGCTTCCACATACTTCAGAAGAGTGAATTTTTGCTTCTGTCTCCAAGAGAAAGGGTTTATTTTTCCTAATAGCTTTTCTCCAAAATTAAATACAGGATTATTATCTGTCCTCCCCCTGTGCTCTCCCCGCCTCACCTGTGTAGCTATGCCTTGTCTCCTCCTTGGGTGATACTGCACATTACTTTCTTCTGATTCACCTGTTCCTTTGAAAGAAAAAACATGCCTCCCCAGAAACCTTTACTCTGATCACTGGTATAACACCTGTGTTGCCTGCTTATGAAGATGCAAAAGTCTTATATATTCTTGTTGCATGAACAGCAAGTCACAGGAAATTTGGCTTTGTAGATTTCATCAACAGGGAGAGGGAGACATTTGCAGTGGCTAATACTGCACACAAAGATATTTGTGCTGGCACACAGTTGCAAATGTGTAATTTGTCAGTTATCTTCATAGTCCTGTCTTTCTGGTCTTCACTGATTTTGGGCAGTGTTTGCAGTGGTAGAATTCTGATTAACTCCTAGTTCAGGAAGAGCTTAGATAGCTAAGTCATCTATTCCCATGTATTTTCTTCAACGACCAGAATTGAGTACGAAAGAATCTGAATGTAGCCTGATAAGAAAGGGCTTATACAGGAAAAAAGAATTCCTAGGCTCTGACCCTTAGGCTCCATGCATTTTCAACTTAAACATTGTTGGGTGAAGTGCATAAACACTACCAAAACCAGGAACCAAACCACCGGAAAAACACTTGCTTATGAAGAGCTTTGAGTCAATTTGTCATTCTTCCTTCTCCTGAACCTGTGCTGCAGGCCATGTAGTGGCCCAAATGAAATGAGGTGTGTGATGAAGAACAGACCAACCCTCTTTTGCTTCTGGTTTGGCAACTGGGACAATACCTTGGAAAACGGTACTAAGAGGTACAGAACCCCTCACACTGAGGACCAGGAACGTAGCTCTCCCATTCGAGCAAATGCTAAAAGACTTACACAACAGAAATCTTCCTCCTCCCTACTGCTGATGTTCTAAAGCTCATGTGGAAAGAGACACAATTATTTTTGACTTGGATCACACTCTCCACTTGCAATTATTTCTTGAAAAGACAGTACTTCAGTTCTGCCTTCACAATGTTATGTATTTATAACCTGTTGTATTCAAACTTTCTTTAAAGTCAAGAAATAAGACAACCCTCGAACATGTAAAAAAGGAGGGAAGAAGAACACCCAACTATGTCTTTCCAATCCTATGCTACTTCTTCAGTAGGGCATAGTGAAGCAGCAAATTCTGCTAGAAGAGTAGAATTACATTGAGCTAGAGGCATATTTAGTAATGTGTACGGGGTCAGATTCACTGGTCTGCTGGAGCAAAGCGAAAGCAGCGTAACCTGACCTTCAGGTGGCCAGCAGTGAGCACGTTCCTGTGCAGGGTACCTCCCTCTGCTGCCCCTGGGAAACAGAGAAAGCAAGCAGCATCTCTGCCTGGCTCAAAGGACAGAAAAATGTCACTGTTCTGTCATGACATGAGGCATAATGAGCATGGATGCTGGGTGACGGTGCAACAATTTTCTTCTGTTCTTCAAAATGGACTGAGTGGTCGGCTAAGCCAAAAAAGTTGGTTTGTGACTCAAAGGAAGGCAAGATGTGGTAAACAATCTCTGAAGATTTATGCAAATACACAGATCCAATGAAACTTTTAAAACATTTCCAATGAATTTAATGAATACAGGAGATACTCACTTTGCATGGTAATCAGTTGCTGGCTTGAGATCATTTACAGTAACTTTATTTTCTTCTCCACTGGAAAAAGATATGATTTGTTTTATTAGACTGTTTCAGAATCATTTATAAAAAGATGCATATCATCTAACCCATCCACTTAACAATCTTAAGAAATACATTTGCTAACAGTTTGTTTCTGTTGCTAAATATAGTAAAATAAAAATGCATTTATCTTTGAATTTTATAGGATTCCTATTCTTTTGCCCTGGTGGTTTGTTGTTGTTGAGGGTTTTTTTTGTCCTGTTTGTTTGGGTTTTTCTTTTTAAGAATAATTATTTTCCTCTTTACTCAGTAAGATCAGCTGCATGAGTACACATGTATTTTATTACCCAAAAAATGCTGAAGTACTGGCGCCTTTAGAAGCTCAGTTCAGCCTTGCAAAACCAATTATCTAAAACCGTAAATGACTGCATATACCTACTTGTTAGAGCCCAGTAAACAGAAAAGGCACCTCAGTGACATCTAGTAGTCTGCTTTTACAGACATCAGCTTATGTCAACAAAGCTCATTTCTTTTCCTCTGAGCTTCTAGGACAAGAATATTCAACTGGCGATTCATGTACTGCTTCTAAGAAATCCATGGAAGGAGACTAAGATAAACTGGCTAAATACAAGGATTTATATTACAGAGCTCTACAGCCTTAAGGGTAAATTTTCTGTTATATTTCTCCAAGTTGCGAAAAACTGATTGAAAACCATTGTATTAAGAATGAAACAATTGAAGAGTTTTGTTTGTTTTGCTGCTGCTAGAGTTGTGCTCTGTGTGACTCTACTTACTTTATTTCATATCTCAAGACTGTCTCTTACCAAGAGCATTTTCAGGGAAGGGAGGGATAACCTTACTGGGAGCAGAAGCATGGCCTGAAGTAAATAACTACAAATACAATTTATATTTCTCACTATTTGTATATCTCACTAATTGAGAACTCACAGTTTCCAGTGCAGCTGGCTGAAATACAGCTAAGTGATATTAAAACTTGCTTCCAACATGTAAGAACTAAGTTTTTAAATTCTAACTGATGACAGAGACTTCAGTAATAAAAACAGAACCAATTCTACTGAAAAAAAAAAGTAGTTTGTCTCAAAAAAGAAGTTGCACAGAACTACTAATTACTTAAATCTCTGGACAACAGGCAGATTTTTAATGAGGTTTTAAACCACATAATTCAATGCAACAGCAATTAAATAACAACAATGAACACCTACATGTATACAGTTTTGTACTTTCCATCTTTTCCGGTATTTGAAATCATTACTTCGTAAGTATAAACATCTGGTATGTCATTCTTGTCAGCATCTTCTCTGGTATCACTGGATGGAGGGGACCACATAAGCAGTGCTGTTCTTGCCTGAATGTCTGATACCTGTAGAAATACAACTTTGAGACCTCTGCTTTTTAAATGTTATTGTATAGAAATGCTGCTTTGCCACGTAGGACAAAATAAAAGAGAAGAAAATCACATAGTATTGTCATATCAGAGAATTTACACTTATCTAATAGCTACTAATTAGTTTTTACAGATGAAATCAAGCTGGAAAGCTAGGAAATGCCATGAGAAAACTGCAATCTTAGCGCCCAGGGCTGAGTGCAAACAAACTTTTAAGTAACAAATGCCACCTAGTGGGCTACAGAAAAATGACTGTATCATTTATGAAGCACAAGAGATGGCAAGCATATATTGTGAATCAGTCGTTTTATTAAATGACAATATTTCAGACTTTTTTTTTTTTTTACATGACTAGTCCTACGATTTTTTTTAATACCTTCTTGCTGACTTGGTTTTCATATTAAATACATAGAAGCTCAGGAATTTCTCCAAAATGACTGGCATTACTGTAGCAGGTACATAAAGAAACTCTGCTTTGGGCATTTAATTATGACTGTGACAAGTAGACTCTCCCATTAGATTAGAACCTATCTGGTTAACTACCCCAGCAAACGGTTTTTCATCAGGATATTGATAGGGATACAACTACCTGAGGCTCTAATCTAGTACTCTGTTAGTGAACAGAATGTTACAACATAAAACATACTTCGAGCTCGGGCGCTTGTGATGAAGGCATGCTCACGAGGTCCATATATATATATTTATGTATCTCTCTATATAGGCAACATCTTAAAGAATTCCTGTGGTGGTGCTTGCCTGCGCAGCCCACCCTTTGCAGAAAGGCCTGGATAACAACAGTTGGTGGGACAGAAATACGACCATAAACAGTGTGCGTGAATGCGACACCTCCAACTGCCTGAGAAGCGTTTGCCCCAACAGACTCATTGTGGTAAAGGTGGTGACCCTTGGGTGGATTACATGGTAACCAAGGAATCAGAGACAGACTTCAGGAATGAAGAAGGGATCAGCTTCAGAAGTACAAAAACAGCATGAAAATTCGTACCAGGGATAAAAGATGCTGGAGTGGAACAGGGCAATGATCAAAACCTGGCCTGACAGTGTGAGAAATTGCCCTGCCACCACTGCCGCCTCTATCCAGGCCTGATGGATGCCATGAGTAGCCGCACTCCAGCCAGAGCGACAGCAGTTTGGGGTGCAACAGGCAGGGACCCACAGCTCAGGTGGGCACACGTGACCTGGTGGAGAGCTTTCTTCATGGCCTGTGGCTTAGCAGATTGTAGGGAGCAACAGATTTTAGGGAATAACGCAGTTACATGCAAAGCTAAAGCACCCACATCTCCCAAAAGAGATGTGCAGTTAGGGGCGCCCACACTCGCAGAAGAGTGGGTGCTGCTTGAAACCCACATGTGCTGCAAGGGGCTGGGGATGTTTGTATTTCTGTAGGTGAGTGCACACGTGTGTACATGTGACTATGAATTTTTAAGATCTCTTACAGAAAGAAGTCTAGAAATTTGTGGGTGTTTATTAATATCGCATATGTCTGCTATTGCAGTTTATTATGTTGCACCCACCTACTATTTCCAGTCATTTCATAAGAGAACTGAAAACGCATTTCATTACATGAAATGACTAGTTTTACAATATGACTGTAATATATATCTATTTTGGGAATAATTGCTTTTGGAAATCTATTACCAGAGTATCAGAATCAAAATGCTATCTTCACAACTGCTGCTCTTAAATTGCTATAGTCTACTGAACTAAAACCCTGTACAGGCCAACTTCAAGAATGAAGCAGAGAGGGGATGACTTACTGATAACAGACAGAAAGGAGGAAAAATCAAAGATGATGAGCCTCAATGTCTTGGAAATAATGTCACTAAGCCTCTATGTACTAACAGGACTATACATCATATTCCAAAAGGGATCAAATGCTAGTAAGATTACCCACTGAAGATCTTGGAAACACAATTCAAAGTTTGGTAAGAGAAACTCCACTATAATCTTGATGAAGTTACAAACTACACTAACTACAACCACCTCAGTACATTTCTGGAAGTCTTTGGAGTTGTGAGAAGCATCTGAGGTGGTAACATCTCCCTCTCAGAGAATCTTAATCCCTCCGTCTGGGGTTGCAGAAGGCAGCAGTGGATACTGAAGGAAACAAGCGTAGGTTCCTGGAGGACCTACTATGCTCCAGGAGTACTAGGGTCCACTGTAAGATGATCTATTCCTATATTTAGCTACCTTAACAGTTGAAAAATTTTTCCTAATGCCTAGGCAGTATCTTTCTTAGTACCAGCTAAGCCTACTAGTCCTAGCCACAATGGAGTCAAACACTACATCTTCTCTTCCTTTCTGCAGTTGTTTCTTATGTATTTGAAGACTGTTAGCATTTGTCTCCTCTCACTTATCTAAATTTCTCATCATTCTCACTGTTCTCCTTATCTCCTGCTGTTTCATTACCTTAGTGTTTTGCCCAGAACTGCACGTAACATCCCATCTAACATTTTACTAATGCCAAACAGCGTTATACACTTGACAGATGACATTTCTCTTCCTACACCTTAGTCTATCTTCTTTTACACCGGAGAAGTAATGCGATTGGTATGAGTGAAAGGTGGCATTACATCTTATTGGAACATCAAAAGATTAGAGGTTGCAACTGTTCAGTACAAGAGAGAGCAGAAAGAGTGGGAGGGAGATCAAAGACAACATTACAGACTACAGTGTAACAGACAACTCGCAGGACTTTGACTAGTAAAACTAAACCCATAGCATTAGTGTAAATCGTTATATACCAACAATTGTCAACAGAGAACAGAGTGAAATGTTTTTTAAGCCTCTGACGGGATGAAAAATTGTTAGTCTGAGTTAATCCCCAAGGGCAACGTTTGTTGGTCAACTCACGTAAACCTTACATAAGGCTTCTAAAATAACAGACGACAAGTGTTAACACAGTAACACAAACACAATGAAGCTGTATTATGCACCAAGCTAAAAAGCAGGGACTATGTAGGTTGTTCTGGTTGTTTTACTTTGTGTAAAGAGTATGTCACTAAAGAATATTACGAAGAGCTGAAGTTTTGCTGCGGCCAATTTGCCAAAGCTTAAAAGCAACAGTCAGTGGAACTGAACATGATCAGAAATGCAAAATGAAAAGTATTCACAGAAGCTGGGAATTAAGGACATCCTAACGGTGCATAAAAAGCTGCAGTGTACAAAAATGGTATAAATTCTCTATACATACACATGCACAAGTACCCACATGGGGAAAAGAAATGTTAGCCAATAAGCTACAATTTAACAGAATTTACCAGATAAAAGATTAAATGAAACAAAACCAATTAAGAAGATTAAGGACAAAAGATATACCCCCCCCCAAAAAAAAACCAAACAAACCAACCCCACCCCACCCCCCAAAAGAAAGAAAACTTATCAGGAAAGATCCAAGTCAGGCACTGCTCTGTTACTGGTGGATGTAGTTACAGTTAAAACTGTAAAACATTATTTGTGTCCTGCATTTGCAATGAGGCAGAAATCTGTATCCATCTTATGTAGTCCTGCTGTGGGACTAGAAAATTTACAACCTACATTAAAGGCTCTGGGCCCAGTAAATTGTGCCCAGTGAAACTGAGGGGTCTGCCATAAACCAGGTGGTCAAATCAGGTTAAACCACTGGTTCCCTGCCAGTGATGTACACTCACATTAAACCAAGAAGTTGCAAGAAGCCAAGACTGAACTAGTAAGCCCTGCTAAGGAGCACAGGTGGGTGAACTACTTAGGGAGTAAGAGGGAGATATCTGAGGGCCAAGGAGAATGGGCTCGTGGGCAGAAGAACAGAACAAGAGGTACAACACTACCTCTTTGGCAGGGATAATCATTGGAAATTATTTCCAGCCCTGTCCCTCATACACCTGAATCCCACTGAAGGTGCTCCCTTCTTCCTTTCTGCAACCCCAGAGAATGGGGGCGGGGGACTGTGGGGTCCCCAGAAATACAGCTCAGGCATGAGGGGTCAGTAATCAAAGAGAGGCAGTAGGAGAGGGACTGAGTAATACCAAAGTGTTTCTTCTGGACCTACACTCTATATGATGTTACGTATTTCGTAAGTTCTGGAGCTTTTCAGTAAATTCACATACAGGTGTATGAGTATTTTCAACCACTCAATTGCTAGAAAAAACATTAAAAAAAAATCACACCTGCAAGCACTGACAAGAGAGAATCAGAAAATGTAATTTAAGTCCTTTTCAACTCATAAAACATTTGGTACTGCTTTTCAGATTCAACTTCCAGCTAAGAGAATGATTCTTAAAGACAAGTCTAACTTCAGCTATATTCCTCCTTTCAAGACTATTAATAAGGGACAAAAGTATTAAAAGATTAAGAACTGCTAAAATGAAGATTTCTTACAAAAAACTTCTATCTATTGTGTACAGGCACCATGGCAATCTTAGATTACATCAGCATATACTATTTTAACACAAAACTCCAAGTTCACATGACGCAAGCATATGACAGTAATTACTCATTTCTTCACTAAGAAACAATTATTCAATATTGTCTTTTATCCTGGATGTTGAATAATGTCCCAATACTTGACTTTCTGAACACTCGACAGAGCTCTGTTATGGAAAAGAATTACTAAAATTTCAGGAATTCCTGTCGGTTCTCAAGCACACAAAACACTAGCATATTTTCCAAAAATCTCTGCAATACAAGGAGGAAAGAAGTATTTCTGAAGAATAAAGATTAAGATCAGAAGAATCTACTATTCTTAGGTGACCCGAGACTCTGGAGTGGCTTTTTCAGAAAACTTGGCATTAGTTACTACTTTGTGTGCTTATTCAAGCAGCTGCAATTGATTTTGGTTGCAGCTATGACCACTCTGTGCTTCTGCAAAGCGGAGTATGATACTTGAGTCAGGTCCTAGCACTGAGGAAACTAAGAGGTGGGGACGTCTTCATTAGCAATCCACCTCGTAAAAGTCAATCTCCTCATTAGTTATACTACATATGCCATTTGGATCAAACAAGAGCAGTTTTAGCACATGCGAACTGGATTGCATTCACCGTGACACAAGGTACTTAACTGGTGAGTGAGATGCATCACGCTCTAAAAGCCCACAAGCATACTCAGAACATGCATGAACCACAAAACATGATGCCTTCCCAAGGGATTTACATGCTATATAACCAACCCTCAACTTCTGAGTTCCTGTTGCGTCTCCTTATTAAATACTCAGCCTTCTGCTCCATTCTTTATTTTGCTTTTGCCTTTTCAGGTCCCCTTGTCTTCTCTTTTGCTTGCTTTGTTATTTCATTAATGGACATGACAGCTGGTGGAGACTCTGCTCAAATGCTGAGGACTCAGCATGGTGCAATCTGCAGAACCACTCCAACTTACATCTGGGTATAGAGAGTTCAAGACCTCTCTAAGTAGAAGGGTCATCTGGTGGCAGTATCACGTTACCAACTTGACTAACACTGCCATGTATGAAAGGATGGGGGATCCATACAGGGAAAAGTTTAAAAAAAAATGCGAAGATGTTCATAAAAACACCTAATGGGAGTCCGGAGACAGCTAAGCTGATGTGCCCCATACTGCACAGAACTGAAAGAGATATGTGAATGAAAGTGCACCATGGAGCCCACCACCTGATTTAGATGTGCATGCCCTCGACCTGAGCATTAAGACATGGGACAGTCCAGGACAGGTCATAGCTTCAGCACTGCTCTGGCCTTTCTGGAGCAAGATATGGTGCAATGGACACTGTACTGGACAGCACCCATACGATCACCTGACCATATAACCACCACCACAGCCAGTATCCAGTATTGCCTGTGCCAGCACTTAAGTTCAACCAGGGATTAGGGTGTTGACAATCCATCAAGAGCAGCATCAATTGTGGCACAATCCCCACAGTGAGTGCTTCAAGCAAAACATTAATCAAAAACTTGCAGATATACTTCTGCTGAGAACTACAAACAGAAGGTGTGACAAAGCACTAATCTCCTGGTTCACTTGTGGGAGGGTGAGGAAAATGTTTCCTTGGAGAAACCGTGGGAGGGTTGCTTCTGATCCTGCAAGGCCTAAGTAGGTAACACAACCTCCCTTTCTCTTATCATGTCACACTCCCCCACGCTGCAACATCAGCTAGTCTTCCACCCACCCACAGCCCTGACAGTCCATTGCCATCGCAAAGCATAAGCCTCTCCAAGTGCTGGAAATTTGGCTTTTTGCCTTGTGTACGCTGACTAGCCTGTAGCAGACTACTACTGCCTGAGCCTGTGATGTCTTCTGAGGTCTGCAAGGAGATCACTTGTAGGCACACAGCTACTTACATTGACATTCGAGTAAGGACATAGAGGGGAGGGGAAAGAGCGTGCTTACCTAGAAGGCATGGATGGTTGAGTGTTGAGGGTGGAAGGAAGTGAAAGAAAACAGTGCTGGCACTCCATTGCTTTTTCACATGTCATTAGCAAGACAACACCTGTTGATCAAACTTCTCACAGTCTCACTCTAACCACCCCAGGAAGCTCAGAGTTCTCACTCCCCTTGGCAATACAGCCACTGACAACGCTCCAGACTTGGATGGCATCCTGTATGCCCTGACCACTGGCAGGGGTCTGTGCACACATCTAGAGAACCGATCCCCCTACTTCCAGTCAGGATAGAAAGGATCCTCACAAAGTTCAGAAGCGCATAGCATGAGATGTGGGAAAGCTGGACTACATTCCAGGTTCTGGATAAAAAATAATGCTATCAAATGTAGACTTACATTCATTTCTTAAATCCATAACCTCTTCCAACCCTTTTTCTCCAGCTTCTCAAAGTCTGGTCCTAATCAACCGTTCTTCATTCCAGTCTCTCTTCCTTGTTTACTCCACCCCAGACTTCAGCCCGTTAGTCTCTCAAAGTTCTGGTATCCTTGTCTCATCAATCTTCATCTTTCTCATGCAGTTTAAGTCTCTTGCTACTACTGCCCTCTATCCCCACTGCTCTCAGTCTTACTAACAAGAGATTCAGACTACCATCACCCTTTTGTTATCAGCCAGCTTGTAAAAATAACAAACAGAAAAGCTATTTGCTCTCCGTCTTGTTCTTCCAGTAGTTCACACCTACTATTCTGTTTGTTCCTGGTCTCATTTTCTCATCTTAGACTCTTCATCTATTTTAGGATCCCTCAAGTCTTGATTGTCCCTTGGACCCGTGCTCCTTATCAGAGCTGTCTCTTCTCCTCTCGCTTCCTTTTTCCCACGCACCCTGATGCCTCTAAGCTTTCTTTTCAGTCCCAGTTTCTTCTCCAAATATCATTTTTATCACCCCTCCCCTAGCTCCAATCACCAAGGTCATCCCGTTAAGTGCTACTGAACTCGATTATCCCAGCAACCATCTACACCACAGCGACAGCTAGGATCAGCTAACTCCTCTCCATTTCTTCACCTCAGCTCTCTCAATCCTTTCTTATAGGATTTGATTCAGACAGCTTCCACCTCCATGCTGCTTAGCCACCAAAGACATGGGCACTGAAGACATGTAAACCCATTCTGATACTGGGACACAGCAGGATGTCTCTATAATTACAATCCTGGCTCAGCCCTTGGAGCACCATAGAATCACAGAATGGTTGAGGTCGGAAGGGACCCCTGGAGGTCATCTGGTCCAAACCCCTTGCTCAAGCAGGATCACCTAAAACCAACTGTCCAGAAACATGTCCAGACAACTTTTCAATATCTCCAAAGAGGGAGTCTCCACAAACTCTCTGGCCCAGCTATGCCAGTGCTCAGTCATCCTCACAGTAAAAAAGTGTTTCCTGATGTTCAGAGCGAACCTCTTGTGTTTCAGTTTGTGCCCACTGCCCTCTGGTTCTGACACTGGGCACACTGAAAACCACCTGCCTCCATCCTCTTTGCAGTTGCCCTGCAGATATCTATAGACATTGATAAGATCCCCCTCAGCCTTCTCTTCTCCAGGCTAAATTGTCCCAGCTCTCTCAGTCTCTCCTCACCAGGCTGTAAAGCAACATATGAAAGAAGAATCAAGACCAGGCACTAAAACCAGGGACAGGCTGTCTAGGATGTGAAGGGGAGAAGGTATGTACCTGATGAATGGCAATGTTGGAAGTCCAATGATCATTCCATCTGACTTTTTTCCTTCTTCACCTTCTTTTCTCTGTATGTCCTTCCTTCCAAAAAAGTTTTCTCTTCTTCATTATTTATGGGAGGGGCGTGTGTGTGTGTGCGTGGCGTGGTAAGCTGAGGACTGACAAAGGATGAAAAGCAGGGTGCCTGATTATGGAGAAAGTAGCTGACTGACTAGACAAACTTACGGCAAGCTCTTCCTGGAGTTCCAGTTGCATGGACTTTTTATAGGTTACAATAGGGAATGCAGACTGGTTTTACTCAGGCAAGCTGGTGGATTGAGGTGCAGATTTTTGGAAAAGCTGTGTAGACCCCCACAGAAAAGTTAGGACCAGGAAAGGTCCAGATCATGAAAGAAAAGAACACAGGCCTGTTCTAAAATGCAAGAAACTGCTGAATTTGGCAATAGTTCTTCAAAGATTCTCTACACAGAGATTATGAATTACAGTTTTTACAAACCGAAAAGAAATTGATTACGTCAGAAGCCCACTGCTGACAGTCACCTTCCTTGGTGAATTTTGTGTCTCTTCCCTGGAGGTGCCAGATATCTTAAAGAGAAATCTGCCATAGTTTTTCTTTACTTTCACATAAGATTTTCCAAAACCTCACCAGGTATCTCTCATGCATAGAGATACCTGGTGTGTGAAATTGTTTCCTGAACAGTTAAAACTAAACAATGCTACAGGAAATTGAGAACAGATTTTACAGTAAGATGACGTTAAGCATAATCATTATGTTACTGGCAATGTTACAAGTTCTTTCTACATATATTTTTCATGATTCTGTTAATACCAAGATTTCACAGAGTAGCCAAGAAGAATAATTCCACATAATAAGTATCAAGACAATTTTAGCTTCATAAATGTTAATATACTAAAAATTACGTTGGTCATTCACATTTCAGTGACTGGAAGTTAAATGAGTTTTCTTTAGTGCGGGAAGTTAAAGACCCTTTAAACTTGGAGAGAGAAAAGGAGGTGTAACTGTATAATAGCAACAGATACATTCTGATTTTATGGAAAGCTTTATTTACTTACCACTGGCTTGGCTATATTAGAAAGAAGTGCTTCAAGTGCTTTTGTTTCTTCATCCTTTTCTTAAAAAACAAAATCAAAGCAAACAAAAAGTACCCATGAATATCGTTCAGTGACTTTACAGTGAAATAGCTCTTAAAATTCAACAACTGCGCCTAAACTAAAACATGTATAAAATAGAACACCTTGCCAACTTGCATTCATTTAGAGCAACATAAAACCAAAAAAGATCCCAAATAAGTTGTTCATATAAAACTATTTCTAAATCTGTTCTATGATTTAATGGAATACAGAAAGTCTGGTTATCTTTTATTAATGTATAACTTTAAACAAACTACTGCTCTAGAGAACTTAAGCTCTTGGCTGAGATATTTCCTATACATTTCTCTTTGGATGTAGTCAAGTTACAGTACTTTAAATAAATTATTGCACATCATGCGGAGGACTACTGGTAACACTGGTAATGCTTCTAAGGAACCGTTAACATAATTTTCACAACATATATAAGTAACAGTACATTTTATCACCTGTGCCTTGGTAAAGTTAGCTCACAGATAAGCACCAACTAAAAGAAAGTAAACTGAAGCCAAGACAAATGACACTCTGGAACTAGGGACAAGTATTCATTCAAGTTTGGAGCAACAGTTCCCAACTTCTGAATTCAGGTTGTATCTCAAAGGTGTCCCTTGGTACTAAGCTTTCACAACGTATCACCTACACATGTTTTTAAACAGCTTTTAGGTTGAGATTTCCTGGTCTTAGTTAGACATACTTTCTTCACATTCCTTTTGGTTTACAGCAATCTAATATACATTGGCACAAAATCATCACCTCAAAACAAACTTCAATGAGTTGAGAAAATCATGGTTTGTTTCCCTCAGCATCACTAATTGCATCTCTCTAATCTTAGAAAATTGTACTTGGCTGATGACAAGTCTTTGACGTTGTGTTCTGAATCTGAAGTGCTAGGCCAGTGACCTGAAAGCTCCATAATGACACACTGTCAGATCCAACAACGACTGTATGACCAAGACTGAGGGAATTCAGTCCATTTATGAGATCACAAGCTTTCCAGTAAAATAAAGGTATTTAAATAATAAACACACTACATATGGTAATGTCTTAGAAAACATGAACTCACACAGACTAGCGTGAGGACTGGTCAATGATGAAGGACCTTTCAATGATGAGTTGGTAGGGACAGGCATTATATGAGTTTTATATAACAACAGTATCTCTTTTACAAAATAATGTTCTTTAACAAGTTGAATGTAGGTTTCCTGTATCAGACACCTGGTTCTTTCCATGTTTTCTGCAATATCAAGCAGGCCATCAATATTCAGTGATTCCTTAAAATAACTCTGAATGAAGCAGAGATTTTTCTTGAAACAGTGTTATAAAGTATGACTAATAAGATTTGCTCAAATCTATGTGGAGACTTGCATGTCAGTAGTTTTGTTCTCTTAGGCCCATCATTCCAATGCGAGGGGCAGGTTGATTGCCCTTAACTCTATTGTTATGTAAGTCAGGGTAGTTATAGGCTACTACTCAACTTCAAGATTGTCAAAGTGTGGTGTTCTATCTACTAATCTATGCTCAGCCAGACATTGGACTTGCATAATTAATACATACATAGATATATGTATTATTTTTGTTAACACTTACCTTCTACTTCTGTGTCTGTCTGAGAATTGCTTTTTCCTTTACCCAAAGACTTGCTTTTGGTAGAACCTGTGCTTATACCAGCTGCATCCTGTCCTTTTGTAAGTCCATTATGTTCACTTGTAGGAGAAGGACATTTCTGAGGAGATGATGGAGGGCTATTTAACTTATCCTTCTGAGTTCCATGTCGATCTTTTAATTTTTTTTGTAACCTTTCATATGTTTTACTAGACCTTTCGTCTCTAAAGTTGGATCTTCCATGAGCAGGCAGAGTATCTAAATGAAAGTAAAGAAGAAAAAAAATTAAAAATAACCTCTAAGAACAGAATGTAATTAAAAATCTATTTAAAAATGGTATGTGTGTTAAGTGTGTGCTTGCGTGCAAAATTACAGCTCTGTTGCTATCGGAAAACTGAAGTGTCCAGCAGTTAAACTAATATACACTAATTGGACATTAACAACATTTTAGGGAAGAAAGTGTAATCTTTCCTTCCCACATCTTTTTTCTAATTCTTAAAATGTTTCTTTAATCTTCCTTGAGCTGTAAGGCACAGGATAAAGTCAACACAGAAAAAAAAGGTGTTGCTTTATTAACATGGGAGGAGGTTTGCTCTAATGCTGAATAAAAACCACAAAAGTTTAAATTTTTAGAATGCAACTAGAGCTCTTATTACTTTAATGGTGCTTCAGCAGAAATCGACAGGGAAAAAGCCCACAAAAGCATAGGGCAACTGAAAGACACTGAAAGACTGAAGATAGTATGGCTACATCTTGTAAGTATACTACACCTGTACACAGTAACCCAAGGCATTGCTGCAGGATCACCAAAGTCCCATTTCTACGTCAGAACGTGGCTTTGGGAGAAAAGTCAGTACCAGACTAACGAAAAAAATTAAATTGCAGATTGGTGATCTTTTCTGTCCAATTCTAACACTTTTATTCATTGCACCTGTACACTTAGAAACAGCTTACCGACTCAAGACTTTAAAACAGTGTATCACATGGCACCAACTCTTTCTTCAGTGTAACCCTACCTATGACAAGTGACGAAAGCTTTAAAAATAATACATCCTTCAAAATGAGCATAGAATGTGTCCATTTTCAGATAAGTTGGATCACTTGGTCTAAAGAATGAAGTTCATTATTTGTTATTCCTTATGTGCTAGGAAGTATAGAAAACAAGATCAAATAAAAACTTCCTTGCAAGAAGGATAAAAATAGCAAAACTCGAGAACTTTTCAGTTTCTGGTTCTTTAGGTCAGCTTAATTCCCAGAAAAATTGACAGAGGTCTACTATCTAAGCTGCGACTATTTAGAAATTTGATTTTCAATACCATTAGAGAGTTAGGAGCTTTTGTTAAAGAACTACCATGCTCTAAGTGCTTCTGGGTGTTTTTTTTTCCCCCCTTAAATTCAGATTTCTCATATAGCAGCCTAACTGTGCACTTTGACTTCTGAAAGCCATAGCCAAAGCCAGTGGCCCAAAATTAAATATGAAATCCGTAGCAAATATGTAATAAATTAAAGCATCCCTAGTCCTCTCATTCCCTAAATCCAAGGGCATCTTACATGTATATTTAAAACAAAGCAAAACCAAAGAATCTCACTTTATCAATTTTTATTTTTACATTAGCAGTTTAATAAATTATCACTGAATTCATATTTAAAGGGATATAACCTAGCAGCAGAAATCTAAAAATATTATTCCACTAAGAAGTATCCTTTATCTTTTATGCATTTAATTATCATACTCCAATCTCTTAATTTAGCAAACTAAAAGCCAACAACTGCCATCTACAGGGAACCAAGAAATTAATAAACTATAAATAAGCACCCAAAGAGCATCTAATAATGTACTGTTATCAAAGTAGTGCAAGGAAGAAATAAAGTACAACTTAAGAATACAGAAACATTACGAATTCCAGGAAGATCAAGCCGTCAGTATATGCTTATCTGAGGGCTTTGTACATCATGACTATTTAAGCACAGTGACTATATGGAGAACTTTTTTAGATGATTTTAGTAGTATCACAGAACGCTGAGAATCTATGCATCTCCAGTGACACGACATAGTTGTGTTTAGTCCACCCTTCCACAGCTTCTAGCTTCTTTCTCTAAAAACAGCAACCTGGCATTGCTTTCTGAAAGTCTTTCAAGGTCGGCACCTGCTTTATAGCAGAAGCTTATCTAAAGAAAAGCAAGTCTACCAGAAATGTAAATATTAATCTAACAACTCAACCCCTGAGTTAGTACACACATACACTTTGCCACTAAATAATATTAAAGTCACCAGCATTACCAAAGACAGCTTCAACTACAATACTAAGTTGGCTGGTGGCACCTGATTATTCAAGTTGGATTTCAACATAGACATTGGACTAAATGCATACATTTTTATGAAAAATAGCAATCTCTTTTCATAATCAATACTAAGAACTCCTGTTTCATGCTTCAAATAGGATACTTGTGAGACATGGTATCTCAGAACAGTGCTCAGGTATGGATTTAAATGCTGAATCTCAGGGGAAGACAGCAGCTGAATCACTACAAACACTTCCTTCATTGCTTTCCTGGGCAAATCTCTAACTGATACACATAAGAAATAATCTGTATGTTTAACGGATCACTGAATAGACAAATCTAATTAATTAAAAGAACTTCTGGAATAATAAGCTTCAGTAAAAACAAGACTAGTATCCTCAAAACTTTTGTGTATAGCTCCCATTCAAGCTGTAAACCTTGCTTGACAAAGCCCATATGTCAGCCTAACAGATGCTAGAAATGAATAGAGCATTATTTTCTTTGACAGAGCTTGCAATATTCAGTAAGTTACTTACCCAGATCCCCATATACTTGTGAGGTGTGATACTGTGGAATGTATTGTGTTGCCATGTCACCGGCTCCAGTCACGGGTGAGTATATATGACGTGGTGGAGGGGGTATCATGGCTGGAAGAGGAAGAAAGCCAGGCAGTGGGGGATGTGGAGGCCTGTGTATCACTGCGTGACCACCAGGATGAAATTCTGGAGCCTGGGGAACCACCACAACCCTTCGAACACCGTTATCCTCAATAACCTGTACAGTGAGAGATACCACACACCAAAAGAGAAGTGACAGTCTGAAAGGTATGTTTCTATAGATACATAACCAAAACTAGGAATAGTAACACCCTTAAATTTGAGAAAAGGAAAACAGGAGAGCATAACAAAAAAGACATAGGACAATTAAAGGGCTATCTATGTCAAATGTATTAACTGCAATAATGTCATTAATTTCTCAATGCGATGGGGAAAAAACTGTTTAAAAAAACCTGATTGTAACAACATCTTATAAACTACCAGGTATATTTATGGCATGAGCCTAGCTTCTCCCCAGAGGTCCTGTTTCCACTCTCATTCACATTGCTTTTATGTTACACTGCTAGGATTTGTTCTAAACACCTAGATTGCTCCCTAGAAGTGATCTGGCGGGTGGACAGACCTCACTCTGCATAAATGGCAAGAGAAAAGGCACAAGTGTCTGGTGTTTGCGCCTAACCCAGTCCACCAACACTAATCCAGGAGGCACTTGCCCCACTGCACTGTCGTCTCCATCGAGCTGTGAAAGCAAAAACACCTAGCAGGATGGTAGTCTTGAGCCCTCTCAAGAATCCTTCACAACTTCAGGTAATTTTTAAAAATAATTCCCCCCTTCCCACCACCAAAATGTCTCGCACCCTGAAGGAAGCCACATGCTACTCAGAAAATATAATCATAGAATAGTTTGGATTGGAAGGGACCTCAAAAATCATCTAGTTCCAACCCCCCTGCCATGGGCAGGGACACCCTCCACCAGACCAGGCTGCCCAAAGCCCCATCCAATGTGGCCTTGAACACTTCCAGGGAGGGGGCATCCACAGCTTCTCTGGGGAACCTGCTCCAGTGCCTCACCACCCTCACAGCGAAGATGTATCTATATAGATATATCCTTGTATCTAATCTAAATCTACCCTTGTGCATAAAGGCATAAAGCCATTATGCCTTGTCCTGTCACTACAAATAGGGGCCTTTGTGGCAGTCTCTGCCAGACTATGGTGTGCAAAGAGGCTTGTTGTGCAAAAATGGCAAATGGGAGATGTGACAGGACAGCCTTCTGCTGAGGGACCAGAGCGCAGCCCTTAGCAACGTTGCTAGAAGCTCAAAGAAACAAAAGCAGCATACTCAAGCCCATGATGAGGGTAAGTGTGGTCACATAAGATGCATGGAGCTGAGGTATGCTATACATGGTACGCATAGCACATCTGGGGTCTGTAGCATGCAGGGGTCTGGTGGCGAGCAGGCACAAAAGCACATATCATAGAAGTAGTGAAGCAAAAAATGCTCTTCACTGAACAAGGGTCAGTCATCAACTGGACCAGAAAAAGGGGTCCCTCCCTGAAGCACATCACAGACATGGAAGACTGCAATCATGATCCTCTCTAGATGTTTGTATCACTACTGGTAAATTCACAAAAATATGCAACTGTTGGTAATATCTAGCGATGATCTTGGCATAATTTGACTTAGATGTATCATGGTATCAATAACTTTAGCGTCCGGAATGCCAATGAACAAATTGTTCTCCACTTCCTAGTAAAATGCTGTAAAATAATGCCACAGCAGGAACTGCAATGTAAGTTTTTGGATGAAACATTTATCTCGTAAAGGAGGAGAAAAAAGGAATCTGGAATATCATGATTACATTCAAAAGCAGGAGACAAGGTATCCCTATGACATAAGTTCACTGACATTTGAAATGAGGTGGGGACATGTACATGTACACCAATGAGTAAGCTTGTGCAACCGGAGCAGATCAATAGATCAAAGCACTTAGTGCCAAGCTCCTTTCAACTCCACTGTTAAAGCTTAAGGGTATTATGCTTTGCTAGACTTAGTCCTGTGCCCTGGTGTGAACATTTCTACCAAGTCCATGACAGAAAGCTTCTTGGAGAATCAATCACTGTTTTTACCATGTCTCCATTAGGGGTTGGTGTGCATCTGGTACATCTGGAATGGAGCTTCTGCTTTTGTTTTCTCTGACAGCAATCTAATTTGCATAATCCATATCCTGCTAGCTGAATCAGTGCAAGGTAAATGAGGTTGGTCTAGGAAATTGTTTCAAAACTTCACTACCGTACTGAGACAGTTATGTAGACACAGCTGTATGCTTCTGGTGTAGTGGTAGAATGACGCTCTCTATGCATATGCAGTAACATTCAGAAGACATAAAAGTATGTACACAATGGAGCTGATCCCACCTTACTTACATAAATAGAGAGCTGGGAATTATTATAAATGACCTAAGTGATCACAGCTTTAAAACACATACATAGCATATGACTTTAAAAATATAGGCTGACTATTTTCAGTATACAGAAATTGACCCTTACTGGGAAAGTAATTTCACTAAAGACACTCTTCCTATATGTGCATCCATCGCTGCATGGTATCTAGAGGCAGGATATATTACCAGCAGTAAACACAACTAGAACTTCTGCTGTCCAATGAAATTCTTTAAACACTGAAATGTCATTTTAATTATTTAAGTCCTTTTTGCTTACACAAAAAAAATGCAATTTATCATGATTTTATGAGCAGATTCGGATTACACAGGAAGCAGCTTCCATAAAAAAACAGGCTACTTAGTTTACAATTCATTTGTTTTCTTGGGTCTGCTAACAGCCTAAGTAACTCAAATAGATACTTAATTCATTGCAGCAGGGACCTTAAGTTTAATAGTGGGAAATGAAGAGTTTGACAAGTCTGTGTGCCTCTAAATCAAACATCAACTCAACAGTAGGCCTCTACCAGGCAACTACACAGATAAAAACCCTCCAAAAAGCAGTAAGCGCATCACGTCAGGTATATCATCTTAAGTTAAAAAAATAAACAAGTTATCTACTATCCTAATTGTGCTAGCAAAACATATAGTTCTGGCATAGCCTTGCTTGCTTGAGTGAATCAAGCAAACATCACTGGAAAATTCACTACAGACAGTGAATACAAACAGCTTGGAGAGGACGAATAAAGATGTACTTTCTTTCAGAGTTTTCAAACTACAGTTCCAAAAGGAGAGGAAGGGAGAAGTAAATCAACTTATGAATTGCTTTTTATTTATGTCATATAAGAAAAAGAAATATCCTTTATTCTGTAGTTATCCTCAACCTCCAACAGAGGACAGTATGCTGTATCGCTGCCAAACAGGGACTGAAGCAAGCAGAGGCATAACAAGAACTAAATGAAAATGGATAGATGAAAGATGGTTATGCTGAAGTTGTTCTTCCAGGCTGATGGCTTTAGACATTTAGCTGGTTTCCAATTTCTCTCAAAACATATCTGCAGTTGCTGACATTTAAAAATATACTATGGCTGAAGAAACCATGTAAGTTACTTTGCTGGGACTGCATTAAGTCTGGGATAACTCTTAGCTCAACAGTGTTAGACTTTCCTGTTTGCAAGACTACTAGCAAATCTTACGGCTTGTAACAGGAACTTCCATCATAAACCACAACAGCTGGCATGTTTTGTCAGCAGTAAATACTTCAGAAGCCTTATAAACTACATGTTTTCCTAGACTGTGATACTTCTACTCAGATGAAAACAGCAGACATGAGCTCATTCCACCTGTGCTCTGAGCTGGATAGATGTGAGACACCTTCAGTTCAAAAGTCAGAGCTGTGTTAGCACAATACTTGCACTAACGAGCTCCAATGAAAGGCTGACAAGCACACCCCAGCAAGGCCCAGTCCTTCAGCCTGCCTGCTGCAAGCTGTCCTCAAAGGAAGGATAAATTAATTTCATAAAGATTATTAACACTGTCACAGGTTACACAACTTTTTAAACATTAAGTACTTCATCAGCTGAAATTAAGTACTCAAGAAATACAGTAAAATTCAGAATTTTATTTATCTCAAAAATTCTTTTAGTTCTTTAAAAAATAATTCTAAATAGGAATCAAGACCTTTTTACTATGACGTAAAGGTAAATGGGCTTTCATGATTATTTTTAATTAATTTTTCTTCTGCCTGTTTGGGAACTCAACTATGAAGGATGCATGAATCAACTTATTGGCCAACTTTCAACAGATGAAAGGTAAAACCACGGAGCATTAGCCTGCCTAACTTAACAGCCTTTTCCTTTGCTAGAGGACAATTTTTTTTAATGCAGTTCAGGTAATTTGTGTAACATCTGCTGGACACTGTGGGGTTTTTGGTTGCATTTTACGTGTTGTAGTCTCTTCTCTGTGTACACCATGAAGTGCATGCTGAGTCACTGGTTACAACAACAGAACATCACAAGAAAGACTTACATTATGGAGAGTGGTATTCATCTGCTCTAACTTCCAAGTCTGACCTACTAACTCCTAGGCTCATTCTGCAGTTGAGGGAAATAGACACTATCTAGAAGGCCACACATCTCATTATAGTACAGGTGTCAAAAATAGCCAACAGGAATCATCCTTTTAATCTACTTTAAAGGATCTCCAGGTTATCTAGCTCACTTTAAATTTTCAGGCATCTAAAGTAGGAATTGTACAGCACAGAAAGTCAGAGCCCATTTTAAGATAAGCTGTGGAAACACATATTATACAATAATTTATCCCCAATAGGCAGCAGCCATTTTTTCCATATTTTTACTACACTTTTTCTAACTGATCTGTTTTACTCCTTGTCTGCAGGGAACTCCACAGACATGAACTATGTACGTATATAGAATTATATTGGTGCCAGAAGAAAACGTCCACTAACCCAGAATTCAGTACAGGTCCTAGACAATGAACTATTTGGATCACGACTGTAGTTTATGTTCAGAGGGTATGAAGTACATTAGGATCCTGAACTCAACAACAAACTGTGCTTGTTACTGTCATGTAAATAGTTTATATATACCTAAACAAGTACATATACAGCATGAGAAGTCTTCCATCACAGAGATACTACAGGACATCTCCCCTTATTCACTTGCTTGACCATGGTGGCTCTGAAACTAGAGTCTGAATTAGCTATTTTGGTTCTACTCCCATAATTTGCATGAAAAGAAATAAAATAAGAATCAAATGAAGGGACATACCTGTGGGGCATATCCAGGAGGCACATAAATAGTAGGCACTGAACCATTTGGGGACATCATTGGAACCTGAGCAGGACCTAAATGGGTTGCAGAAATATTCAGTACAGCATCAATTAATAATTTGACAAAGTTCAAAGAACACACTGAATGGCAAAGTCTCTGTGAAAAATATACAAGATAACGTGAATAAACAAAGGCAATGAAATGTACAGATAAAATCATAACAAAGGGCACTCTCAGAAATCTAAGAAACAGTTAGAAAAAAACACCAGAAACTAAATTTAAAAAAAAAAATCACCAGCAGATATTCCCCCCTTCTCTGTCAGTAAGCTCACAAAAGAGCTTATGTCAAAACTTCTTAACAGGTGACAAGTCAAAAGAGGTATCCCAAGATGAAAAGACAATAGAAAAGACCTTAAAACAGAAACACCACCACCCCTCCATATTTAAAACAAATTACTGAAATCAGATAGTATTCAGTTAAGAGTTGTAAAGAAAATTACATATAAAATTGCTGGTTTGTTTCTGTGGTCTTATTACCTAAAGAGGTCTTAGTACCAGAGGAGCGGGAGGTGACAAACAGGACACTAACTTAACGTCCCAGGGGAAAGCCAATGTATTACAAACCAGTAAGTCTACTCCTACTAATGGAAAAAGTTGTGATACCATGATGATCCTTGTACCATACAAATGGGAAAGAACAGAGTTTGCAGACGCTTAGATAAATATGACACAATGGGGATATGTTAAGGTGGCATTTGTAGATAAAGTAGTGCCTGAAAAATCTGATACCTTCAAAGAGCACAGGGATGCTATCACATACTTGGATTTTCAAAAACCTTTTGACAATCTTTCTCAAAGACTCTTAAAGAAGTTATGCTACCTTTGGTTAAAAAGGGAAAAGGGCATCTCACAAATAACTAACTGGCTTGAGAACAGGAAATAAGAGAAGTAAATGATCAGCTTTCAAAGTGCCCAGAGTGACTGAAGGAGTCCCAGGGCAGGCAAAGATTAATGTGTTCAATGTATTAATGAAATTTCTGGAAAAGAAAATGAACAGCGAGGTGACAAATCTTTCAGAGAGCTGGCAAAGGATCTCACAGTACTCAATGACCAGATGATAAAAAAACAAAAGAAATAGTGCTGACAAGTACTGAGTAATGCACCTGGACAAAACCAACAGTGATAAGCCATAAGTTAGCTGCAAATAAGCTACTATGGAGTTACTATGCATATTTCTAAGGAAATACCTTTCAGTGTATTTCAGTTCAGTGACACTTGAAGAAAGAAAGACAACATTAAAAATCATTACTAACACAACAAAAAACAAGCAGAAAGCATTATTATGCTGCACTGTAAATCCACAGTGTACCTCAATACCTTGAGCGCCATGTACAGTGCTTGTCTCCACCTTTCAAAAATTACATACAGAACTAGGAAAGGACAAAAAAAAAGAGAAAAAAAGAGAAGCTTACAGTGGCTTTCCACCTGGTTATCAGGAGAGATTAAAGAGATCAGGATTCTTCCACCTGAAGATGGTTGAAATGTAAAAGGGCTAGCAGCAGAGAAATAATAAAAGACCTATAAAAAAAGGATCCACAAACCGCCTGAAAATGGGAAGATAGATCATTTACAGTTTCTTATGTGAAAGAGCCAGTGGTATTAAATTAGGTAAAGTGGTAAAAGGTTTAAAAGCGATAAAGCAATTTCTCATGAAATGCACAACCAAATTGTGTTAACTCCTCACTTTAAGAACATTGTGGAAAGTAAAGGTTAGGTTCAGAAGTTGTTAAGCAAATTGAGAGAAGTAATCCACTAAGAGTTATAAAAAATACAAGTATTACTTTTGCTTCAGCAAGCTAGAAACAAGAAAGTTATTTCTTTGTGCCTGCCCTATTCTCATGCTCTCCCCTTTAGTATTTGATACTGGCTTCTGTAAGAGCAAGCGCAATGGCACAGGCTTCAAGAGGGACTGCCCACAGACGCCCTTACATTCTTGTGTTTAAAATACACAAGTCAACAATCGCTGAAGTTTAGTAATTAAAGAAAAACTGAAACACAATATAATCTGACCAGGTTTTGCAGCAGGTGCATAAGGTTGGGATTCAGACACTCCAGGCTGCACTTTCCAAATTTCCAACTCAGTGTAGTGAAGCTACCAAGAGCACCAATCCAACTCTTGGTGAAGATTCAATACTGCTTCTCAAAGGGCGTTCACAGTTCCACATTAATGTTTTATAAACTGAGTTAAGATCTGTAAATGGAAAGTACTAAGTAAATACAAAGTACAGTATATAAGATTAGCGTACCTCCGTCTGATAAGTATGAACTTGACAGAAAAATAAAGATAACTATGTTTGAATGCTAAGAGCAGGGAAGAAGGAACAAAAAGTATTCCTTAAAAAAGCAGCACCTAATCCAGCTTGATTACACATGCTATATGGACTTCTTTAGAATAAGATACAGAACTTTTGAAATGTATTACCTAAAAAGAATCACAGGTTTTTTCTCAATGAAGTGTTAACCCACAACTGGGCAAAAAGACTTTTTTGAGAACAAGGTCTTAATTGGAAGATTAACTGAACTGTCGGAACTGCATAACAGCAAAGAATATAAGGGCTACAGTAAGCTATAAATTGAGAGGTGAACCTTCTCTGGGTCTTTTTGTTCAGCTGAAACTCAAAAATATTTCAGTGAAAGTTTCTCCTGAGTATGAAATGCTAAACAGAAATGAAAGTGAAGTGAAAAGTAGCAAAAGAGAGGCTGAAGAAGTGCTATAAAGCATTAGCTTAAAATAAATTCAAAAAAAGTCAACAGTAATGGAAGCATATTTATCATAAGTTGCCATTCAACCAAATAATGGTTTAAATTCTTATGCAAGAAGGTGGATTTTACACAGCTTGTATCTTGTATTGCTTACTTGTAGTTTTTCCATAATGAATACAAACAACTGACATTTATATTAAATTCACAATTTTAAACTACGTAAGTTTCAGGTAAATTGAGAATTAAGACCATAGTTACTTGAACTTTTTATAGCAAACTCAGTGTCCTCGGGGGATGAAGGAACTCAAACATGAACAGCCTGTTTCTTTGTGAACTGGCAGGTATCTCTGTGTTTGGCTTTTTTGTTTTGTTTTGCTTTAAATGTCTAAAGAATATTGTTTAACAATCTTTTAAAAGGTTATTTATTTAGCGCTTTAATCTCTCCGACAAACAAGAAAAAGCAGTTATCTCCAATCCAGTACAAAGGTTGATCCACAAAGCCATTTTCAGTATACCCATAATCTAGCACTCACAAAAATAGACATAAAGGCAATGTACAAACCTAAAAAATTATCACAGAGTTGGAATAGAGTCAAATTAGTAGTTTGAAAACTTGCATCCCCTCTTTAGCACTTTCAGGCTCCAAAATTACTGAAAATAATTTTTTAATATTCCAGATGTGAGAGCGAACTCTAATTTACTTCTGATTAGATTTCCACATGGATGTGGAATGAAGTTAGATTACAGAGGAACATTCAAGAAAATGGAAAGCATGAAAGAAAAGTTCGCAGACTTCATTTTAATGAAGGTCTTTACAGTGAATAACTGATTTCTTGACAGAAAGCATATTATACCTGCAAAAATTAAAAAGAGCTTTTCTGTATCTAAAGATTAAATGCTAATATGCTATAAAACCAGGGTTTGGTTTTCTTTTTTTTTTCCTTTCAAACACAACTAATGTGAAGATCTTGGCTCTACTTCAGTGAAATACACTGCAAGAAGAATGTTCATGCTTTTAAGTATTGGTTGGACTGGTGAACGACAAAGCCAGAGGGTTTTACCATGAGGTGAGAATGATTGCAAAGTACCAGCAAACAGCAGCATCAGGAATTCGTGTTAAGCAAACATCTAATTTCCTATATTGCACATAAATGGAACTGACTTCATTCAAATCACTATATTATTAATGGTGATGACTTGACCATTGTAAAAGGAGGTCTCGAATCTTCTATATACTTTCAAGTATATAAGTTTGCTTATATAAGAAGTGGAAAAGAAGCATTGTGAGAGACAAAACCAAACACATAGCTGTGGTTTGTACTTTATTCCCGAAAAATAACTCATCGAACACAGTAAAGGTTTATTTAACTCAATTGAACCCAAGAAACAGATGTTTCACCACTCTTTCAGTTTATTATCGTCCTGAAATTCGCTATTTCACTACTACGAAAGGGTAAACTTGTAAAGTCTCTGTCTAAGACTTTGTCCTAAGTTTAAAAACAAAACATCAAGGTGCCTATCGAAGATTACATAAAACTTGGGATGTGACCTGAAACAGAAAAGACATAAAAAAATACCAACAACGGAAGGAATCTCTCCCCCCCAGCAATAGCAGGTGAAGTTATCCACACGTCTGTTTGAGCAGACTGTAAAAACCTCATTATGCTCATTACAGCCACCACAAACGTGTAGCAAAATCAACAGCGCTGCACAGTCGCTGGGATCTAAACATAGTAACTCCTGAAAATTTGAGGACATCGCCGCTGCTTGCCTGACAGATATATCATTTCTGTTTATTTTAACCATTTAGCATCGCTCCATTTCAGGTCGCTCCTAAAAGCGCCTGGCAAAGGTGAACACCGTGGGTTTCCAGCTCAAAAGCTGCACTTGCTCACCGCTTGCGTGATCGAATACTCTTCCGGGGCAGTATCCGCCCATAGCCCTACTCTTATAAAACCGGGCTCGTAATGGCCTCCCAGCGCACAGGCTTCCTGCTCCCTTCAG